AGAGGGGTGGGGCTGGGTGGGAGGTCACATGTTTCATTTGTAATAAAACGCCTACTGAGCAGTAGCAAAGGCAGCAGTTCCTAAAATTATTGAGTTGGATCCAAAGAGTCTGGTTTGCTAACAGAGGGGCCTTCTTCCAGTACAAGAAGACTTGCATTGCCAGAACAAATCCCTTCCACAGGAGGAAGCCTCAACCATTAGTGGAACAGACTCATAGGATCCATCCTATTACTTTTCAGTGTTTCCGGGAAATATCTAAAATGCCCTTTCCACAAGCAAGTACAAATCAGCCACAACTTTAAATCAATTTGGAAGGTGATCACTGTATAGCCATGACTGTGATTGTTTTTTCCTGAGAAATGTATGTTGGCCAAACTGCTTTATCTACAGCAGAGGCCAGATTAAAATATTTTCGGGGTCCTCGCCTGTGTATACAGAAGTCCAATTCCACCCCGAGGATTTTCCCAGAGATATAGGGAGACGAGACTGGTATCTTGAAATCAAGCTGTTCTTTTTACTGAATAATATTTGGTTCACATATAGACAAAAACAGAATCTCACACGCAGTCACACAAGATCCTCAGTGTTACAGGAATAGAAAATGATCACTTTTACACAGGGGTCATTTCGTAGAAAAAGAGCTAGGGGAACTCATTAGCATAATTCATTAGCATATGCCACACCCCCAGAAGTGTGTCATAAGGCCACACCCCCTGACATCACCAGAAGTGTGTCATAAGGCCACACACCCCGCCCCCAACGGTCCCGGCCACCGCTGCCGGCCTTGCAGCTCCACTGCCGAGCCCCATGAGGGGCCCGGCGGTGGACCTGCAAGGCCGGTGGGAGTACAAGGAAGCCCCGCGAAGGCCCTCTCTGGCCCCAGGCAGGCAGGGGTGGGGAGAGGCAGGGAGGAAGCAACTTACCCTCCCTCTTCTCCTGCCTCCTCCTGGCTGAATGAGAGCCGGAAGCAGGGCGGCCGGAAGCAGGGGGCGGGGCTTCGTCATGTGCCCAGCCCCCCGTACCTCACCCGGGGGAACTGCGATCCCCCGCGATCTCCCCCGAAATGACCTCTGTTTTTACACTAAATGGATGGGGAGGGAAACAGCAAATACTTATCTGATCCGAAGCTTGATCTTCCCAATGAAGAATACAGAGTAAAGACAGAATAGCTAAAGGGATTCTAATTTCACACAGTTGGGACCTGCCAACACATGTGGATCTCTTGGCTGCAGTCCAAAAGATCGAGCAAGAACAAAGGATTACTTATATAGCAAGAGTGTGAGTAAATAGCTAAGGAAAGAAGATGGCTAGCAGGGTTCAAACTGTTGAACCTCGCTTTTTATATGGGGGCTCCTTGGGGGCTGGCATCTGTGCCATCCTCCTTGGTCCCACCTACCTATGGTCCGTCCCAAGAACTAACACTATTGGCTATACTTAGTGACGTCCCTAACTAGAAGCAGTGGGCAATATTGAAATCTAAACCTCTAACTCAAGGAATGCATCTGGTCCAGGTGTGAAGTCGGATACCCAGGGCAACCATTGAAGTGTAGATGACTCTTGCTTGGTCCCAAGCAATAAAGTGCCCATTTGTCAGGAAGCTGTCCCTTTGGATGCAAACCAGATATCGGGGCTACGGTTCACTTAGCAGTTCACATCAATGGTGGTTGCAACCATAAAAGTTGTTGTTTTGTGCATTCCACAATGGCGATGCAGCCTTCTTCCTCAGGCTGGACTGTGAGAGTGCAAATCCTATTAACATAAAATGCAGGCAAGGTCCTTTCCAGGTGAAGCAAGAATACAAACAGCTTTCCCTCAGCCTGTGGGTGTTACTAGGCACAGTCCATGGATGTGTGAGTGCACATCAGCAAATACACAAATACATAAAAGCAAATAATAAGTTCATCTCCCAACATGTAGTTTTCATTGTTAGAACATACCCTGAAACTCCACTTTCCTTGTTGCTAGAAACGTGCCTCCCTCTTGCTGCCTGCAAGTTCTGCGAACAGGAGTGGCTTTTCTCTTCTAAATTTAGATTCAGCAGTAATCAAAACACATGTCTGCTCGAGTCGCTAGAGGCTGTAGTGAAGTTAAACCTTCATTAAATCACGTTTGAATAATTAACAGCTAAATGAAGCGAAGGCAAAAAAAAAAAAGTTCAAGAAACACATCTCTCACATAGAGCTCGGAAAGTGTGTGAGCCAAGAAGCATACTTTACAAAAGCAAATACCTCTTTAAAAGCACGCCTTGATTAAGTATTGATGTATTTACTCGTAAGTATATTGCTTGAGAAAATAAAGGCCAGAAGAGGTGTGACCCTGGGAGAGTCATGATTATAACTTCCTGCTGCAAGGGCCAAGATTTAGACTGGGACTGTGGTACCTCGGGAGAAGAGCAGCAGAACAGAGCAAGTGTACAGTAGCACCTTAAAGACTAACAAAGTTTGTGGCAGGGTATGAGCTTCTTCAGATACAGCTAAAATGTGAGTCCATCTATCCTATATATTGGAAAATGGAGTGATTTCAGATGCCAAATGACATTAGCAGGCAAATGACAATAGCAGGTGTGATTGGATTAGGTGTGATATGCAGAGTGGTAGTAGGCGTGGAGAAATCAACATTGGTAATGAGACCGGAAACCTAGGTCTCGATTCAGTCCAGGTGGATGCATTGTCTCAGCTTCATTATCAGTTGCAATTCAGCAGCCTGTCTTTCTAATCTCCCTTTGAAATTTCTTTGTAACTGCTACTCTTAGGTCAGCAACAGAATGTCCTGGAAGGTTAAAATGTTCCCCTACTGTTTTTTGAATGTTGTGGTTTCAAATGTCAGACTTATGCCCATTAATTCTTTGTCGAAGGGACTGGCCTGTTTGTCCAATGCAGAGGGGGGAGGGGCATTAGAGGATGAACAGGCGTATGAACCTGAGATGACATGGCTTGATGTTGCTGGGTCCACTGACAGTATTGCTAGGATTTATATGAGAGCAAAGTTGGCATTTTGGTTTGTTGCAGGCCTTGGTGCCAGAGTCCATGTTACTATTATATAGTGTATCATTGTAGGTGAAAAATTGTTTTAGGTTAGCAGGCTGTCTGTAAGGAAGAAAAGGTTTTTAAAAAACCCCAAAACCTCAGTGCCTGTGTGAGGAAAGTGTCACTATCCAACATGGGTTGTGGGTGGTTAATAATGCTTGAGTTGTGAGTTGTAGGTGACCAGCAGTGGTGTTCTGTTGTTATTTTCTTTGGGCTTGTCTTGTCTCAAGCTGTCCCTAGGTGTCATTCTGGCCTTCCCCATCATCTTTCTCGCCATGTTAGGAGGATATTGTAGTTGCAAAAATGCCTGCTGTAGAGCCTTCAGGTCAGCATCTGTGTTGTGAGTGAGGACATATTTTACCTCAGAATACACCAGGTCGCATAAACAACTGACAAGGGATCGTTTGTTGTGGGGGGGGGGGGTTGGGGGGGTAGCTGGAGGCATGTAGATACGTTTGCCTATCTGTCGGTTTCCGGTATTATGTGGTATGTATGTGTCCTTTGTGAAGCCGTACTGTGATGTCCAGGAAGTTTATTTCTTGTGTAGAGTAATTCATACTTAGATTGAGGGTGGGGTGGAAGTTGTGGAAAGCCTGGTGAAACCTCTCAAGGGTCCAGACAATAAAAATGCCATCAGTGAATCGCAAATAAAGGAGAGGTGCCAATGGGTAGGAGTTCAGAAAACATTGTTCTAGATCCACCACGAAAATGTTGGCATACTGTGGAGCCTTGCCAGTGCCCATGTCTGTGCCATTGACTTGGAGGTATAACGTCTCACCGAGGTTTAACTCTTCCACATGCGCACAGTTTTGTTGCAACAGTCCTTGCTTTGCTATTAGTTTTGCAAGGGGAAAAAGACAGGCAAAGAGGAAGAGTCTGTCTTTTCTTCCTTACAAGTCTAATTACTGTATGTGTGGGTCTTTTCAGTTACCAAAATTGGGGGGGGGGATGCTCAACCCCTCCTCCCCTGCTCTGCAGTCTTGATGTGAATTAGGACTGTTTTTAGAATGGAGAAAAGGTCCTGATTTCCCAGTGGCACATCTGTTTTGTTCCTAAATGTATGTTAGCACAGAGGATATAATATTTTCTATGCAGAGGTTATAAATAATAATTTTGTAGTCTCAGATAAGGTTGTTTTCAAAGAAAGTGACTCAAGGCCAAGACACAGCTTGCAACCAACACCGATCTCCTGCTTGGTGTCAAGTTCTTTCCCCATAATATAGAGAATCTCATTCGGTATGTTATGGTGTTGTCATTTCCTGAGTGTTCCTGAATCCACTCCACCTCATTAGTTGTACCAGTAAGGGTGGGGGAAAGCATAATTTTATGAGGATGAAGAGATGACCAAATCCATGGGATCCATCCTTTTGTTTTGCTTTTGCTTCTACCCTATGCAAATCAAACCTGTTCCTGTATTCATATATCATTTTCTGTTTCGTACAAAATTTTCCCATCAGAATTAATGCATTTTCAATATTATTTTTGTACCACTTGCATATAAATGGCACATAGTGTATAAATGGCATAAAAGAAATTGTGAACATCTCAGTGAAACTGGGCAGAACGAAAAGGGTCACAACAAAGAAAATAATAATGCATTTTTGGGCATCCCTATTGACATGCCTGCTTATAGCATTTACTCATTGTGTCACATATGGAGATGGGAGAAGCTTGAAACAGGCAAACAAAATCTCACTGACTTATTACATGTTTCCAACACACACCCATTTTCATGTGCATAGATAAGAGCTACAGCTTTTGGTATGTACAACTGGAAAATGTTTTTTGGAAGTAGTAAGGACTGCAAACCTATCTATGCAGGAATTTTACCACTAGCCAAAGAGCATTTTAACAGACTATTGTTTTGTTTTGCTATTTGAGAGTCAGTGTTTGCTATTAAAAGTAAATATCATCGCAAACTAATAATGGAGTGGAACAACATAGCAAAGTATGAATGACTTGTTTGCCATACTGACATTTACTGCTTGTCTTCACCTCTCAAAGATTTTGAAAGGAAGCTGACAAACAAAAGTTCTGAATGGAAATATTTTCTAGGAGGACTTCAAACTGCCCAAGGTGCCTAGAATCCTCTAGAGCATCCAGTTCTGTGAAGACATGAGGGCTTACTTCCTCCAATTTAAAAACTAATATATTGACCTTTTGTTACTGTCCATAAGGTTTTCTTGGCAAAGATACTGGAGTGGGTTCAATAGATGAGAGATCTTTAGAAAGCTGCATCTGGCCCCCAAAGAAAAAAAATATCTAGTGTTTGTTGATATTGGGGAGAACCCAACAAAATCAGCTAGTGGCTAGAACATTCAGCATTTGGTGGGGGGATTTGGAAATGTGGAATATAAACCAGCTTGGTGGCTCAACCCATTATCCCTGCTTGGCACCAACTTGGATGTGGAATTTGAAGCTACATTGAATGTGGTAGAATGGTCACAGTGTTGGACTCGGATTTGGGAGACCAAGATTCAAATCCCCACTCTGCCATGGAGGTTTGCTGGGTGACCTTGGCCCTGCCACCTACTCTCAGCCTCACCTACATCACAGGGTTGTTGTTTTGAGGATAAAATGGAGGACTGAATGGCCATATTGTTAGGGTTGCCAGCTCTGGGTTGGGAAATACCTGGAGATTTTGGGGAAGGAGCCTGCGATGGGTGGGGTTTGGGGGAGGAGACGGACCTCAGCAGGTTATAAGGCTATAGAGTCCACCCTCCAAAGCAGACATTTTCTCCAGGGGAACTGATCTCTGTCGCCTGAAGGTCAGTTGTAATTCTGGGAGATCTCTAGGTACCACCTGAATGTTGTAAGCCTGACCTAGATAGGCTAGCTTGATCTCATCAGATCTCAGAAGCTAAGCAGGGTAAGCTCTGACTAGTATTTGGATGGAAGACCTCAGCTGTGACTTGATGGCAAAAAAAACCCACTTTGGGATACTACTTGGGAAGAAAAGAGGGATATAAATAACTAAACAAAAAGGGTGTGTTTCATCTCTCTCTGTCCATAGCAATATCAACTTTTGGTCTTGCACTTTCAGTGGTCAACTACTTGATCTAAATTAGATTCAAAACTTCATCTTTGATTTTATTAAGCTGATTCATTTCAATAGTGTGTTCATTTCTTCCCAGGGACAATACAATATCTTGACCTGATCCAGATGAGTCACAGTGCTGCTTTAATTTAATCTCATTTATTCTGTAATATACTTTATCTTTCTTCTGTTTGGAGGAATACCTTGATATTGAAAATATTTCTGTGTATCTGACAATCCTTTGCTTGAGCATTCATTTCCTGTAGATTTTCACACATCAGATGACAGGCAGGGAAATGGAAATCTGTAATTTGCAAAATAAAAATAATTAGTCTCTTCTTCCTAGCTGGGTATGATTCATTTAGATACTCGGGGAAACAAATGCTACATTTTCCACTTACCTGTTCAGTACACTTTAAAATAATTTAATTTCCCTATCAAACACACCCATTTTTTCATTTCTTTCCAACATCATTATGAGGGATACCCTTTTTTGTAGGCCTTCACATTAGCAAAAATCATTACGAAAAAAGACAGGACTCCGAACTGTGGATGGCCGTAAATGAATAAATAAATCTACCACGCAGGGTTGTTATGAGGATAAAATGGAGAAGAAGAATGAATGTAATCCACTTTGGGTCCCCATTGAGGAGAAAGGCAGGATATAAATAAACACAAAAAATGATTGTTTATGTAGAAGGTGACGTTGCGAGAGTGGCTGATGCACACATTACAAAGTACGTGGGTTGGATCTGTGATCTCCACCCTGTATAACACAGGGTGATTCTGCATTGGCTTTTCTCTCTGTTGTTTTGCCAAACCCACGTTGGAACAGAAATTCCCCTCTGCATTGCATGCCGCTTTCACTTTCTTTGATAATTGGGTTTTATGGTACCTTCTGCATAGATTTATGGCCATTCAGGAGTGACTTCTCAGTCAGTATGGCATTGCCCTGAGGTATCTGAATGTGGTTTTGAGCTGCACCTTTGGTAAAACAACAAAGGGGAAAGCCCATGCAGAATCACCCACAATCAGATGTGAACTGCAGGTTCTCCTACATGCACATGGTGCTCCAGTTGGTTCAGGACTGCCGCAGTCATAGAGAAGGAGCTTCGGCCGTTTTCCCAACCTGAAACAGCCCAGGGGAGGCACTCTTTGGCCCCTTAGAGAAATTCACTTGTATACCAGGAAACATGTGAGGTTCCCCCAAGGGGACACCTAGCACCCCCTGGCCATCGATGTCATCTGCATGTCAGCATATTTTAGAAGAAGCTGGGGCAGAAGAAATTGGGAGTCAGCCACATGACATCTTTTTGTGTTTCAGCTTAACATATAAGCCATCTGTATGGCAGGAGGAGGGGGTTACCTAGTATGGGGGAAAATTAGAAGAAGAAGAGGAGACTGGATTTATACCCCGCCCGTCACTACCCAAGGGAGTCTCAGAGCAGCTTACAAACTCCTTTCCCTTCCCCTCCCCACAACAGATACCCTGTGAGGTAGGTGGGGCTGAGAGAGCTCTGAGAGAAACGGCTCTTTTTCAAGAACAGCTGTGCCAGAACTATGGCTTGCCCAAGGTCATCCAGCAGGTGCAAGTGGAGGAGTGGGGAATCAAAACCAGTTCTCCCAGATTAGAGTCCGTGCGCTTAACCACTACATGAAGCTTACATGAAGAGAAGAATAAGCTTCCACTGTGCTCATACCTGGACCGCCTTCTTTGGAAGGAAGAGGCAACCGTTATGAAAAAGAGCAGCCCAGTGAACAAGCAGTGTCTCTCTTTTTGTGAGGAGGGGAGTGAAGTATCTGAACCAGCAGGAGGAGGAGTGGTCCAGGTATTAGCAGAGCAGTCTCCTTGTCCTCTTTGTCCATGACTCTTTACGAGGGCAGCTGCTGCACTTGCAGCTGGGCCACCCTCTTCGAGAAGAGGAGGCAAGGATGGACCACAAGGAAAAGCAGTATAGGAATAGGTGCCAGGGACTGTCACCACCACCACCACCACCACCACCAATGTTCCCTCTAAGCTATGGAGTCCTGTGAGCAGAAATTCTACTTTGTGAGCTACTGGCCTTAAAGTTGTGAGCAAGTTATTTGGCTATTGCATAAATTAGTTTGCTCAGGAGCTGTCCTTCCTGAGCGAAAACAAAAATGTGTGAGCCAGAAGCTAAAAAACTCTGAGCTAGTTCACACTAACTCAGCTTAGAGGGAACACTGACCACCACCCCTCCTTGCCTCAGCACCCCCTTCTTCAGATACCAGGATCCCATTTATATCAGACCAAATTGTTTTAAAAGGAAAGTAAAAAATCTTTGGGCTCCCCCCCCCCCATTATCTATGCTGTCAAATTGCAGCTGACTTGTAGCAAACCCATAGGGTTTTCAAGGCAAGAGACTAACAGAGGTGGTTTGCCATTGCATTCTTCTGCATAGAGGCCCTGCAACGTCCTTGATGGTCTCCCATCCAAACACCAACCAGGGACAACCCTGCTGAGCTTGCCAGATCTGATGAGATCAGGTTACCCTGGGCTAGCTACATCAGTGTTTATTTTTTGTTCTGTAGGTTTCTTCAGATGACAGAGCTATGATCTTCTCCCACCACAAAAATAATGAATAAAAATATGGAACAGATGTTTTTTGGGGGAAATAACTACAAACAAAAACGAGTGCCCATTCTATCTCTTCCGGATTTTAACGGCTGTCTATGTACCTTCTAACACACAGTTTTATTTTGTTTTTTCAGCAACAGTTGGCCAAGAATATAAAATTTGGCCAGCCCCCACAAATGACAGTTCCAGTGAAGACATTTGGGGAGTCAAACACTAGTATAGAGGCAGACGTGTTACTGAGCAGCCCCATGGAGACGGAGATGCAGCAGGACTTGGGCCTCCCGGAGAACTATAATAAAGTAAGCACTTAAATCAAACATATTCACTATGTAGCTGGAACAGTAAAGTTCACCGAAGCACAGCCACTGTGTCCAGTGAAACAGAGCAAAGCTCACTGAGGTATTTTACAGGCAGGTTTAATAGCCCTTGGTCTCCGGCTGTCTAATATAATTTATACGTGTTGGGGACTCAGGGAAGAAATTGGACAGAAGTCCCTGCCTGCTGGGCCACTTAGGGACAATCAGCAGATAGAATGCGAAGGAAGGGGGCTGTGCTTGCTGTGCAGGGGGCTGTGTTGAGTCCAAATCCTGTTAATTCACGAACACGTGACCCTGCCTTATATTGAGTCGCACTGTTGGTCTATCAAGGTCAGTACTGTCTGCTCCGACTGGCAACAGCTCTCCAGGGTCTCAGATTAAGCAATGGTCTTTCATATCACTTAACTAATCCTTTTTTGAATGGAGAAGCCTGGGGTTGAACCTGGGACCTTCTGCATGCCAAGTAGATGCTGTGCCATTGAGCTGCAGCCCATCCACACCTCGATATTTTCTCTTATTTCAGAATTATGCAGGTCATGAAATTTAGCTCGAGAGCTCCAATGTTGGGCCAGGTGCTTTCACACACACTAAATAATGCATTTCCAATACACTTCCAATGCACTATGCAACTGAATTTTTACTGTGTAAAATGGCAAAATCCCCTTGCAAACAGTCACTGAAGTGGATTGAAACTGCATTATTTAGCATGTGTGAAAACGCTTAGTTTTCTGGTACATGAAACAAAGCAAGCGATACATTTCGCAGCCCTTGGTTCATCTACGGAATCTGCTGTTTTCTGAGAGTTGCATGAACTTGCATTAATCCACCTTCCTTGTATGTGAAGGCTAATGTTTACCCAGTATCTTTCACCTCTCTTCCTCATCTCAGACTATGTACTGATGTTGCAGTAACATAGATGCTTAGATCGTCATCCTTGTGCCGGAAGGTCTTCACTGGCTGTTTGCTTCCAGACAGAATCCAAAGTACTGGCTCTTCCTTTTAAGACCATAAATGACTTGGGACCAGGGTACCTGAAGGACCATCTTAGGGTTGCCAGCTCTGGTTGGGAAATACCTGGAGATTTGGCTGTGTGTGTGAAACCTGGAGAGGGTGGGGTTTAATGAGGGGAGGGACCGCAGCAGATTGTAATGCCATAGCAGCCATTTTCTCCAGAGGGACAGTGCTTGGTTATCCGGAGATCAACTCTAACAGAGGGGGATCTCCAGGAGGTTCGCAACCCCAGACCACCTCTTTGTGGACTGGCCGGTCCAACAGTTCAGGTCATCTTACCTGGCTGCTTCTTGCTCTGACTGAGGGCTGCTGGGAGCAGGGGGTGGGGCTTGTTGCATGTGCCCGCCCCCTGGGCTCTTTACTGCCGGAGCTCCGCTCCTGTGCGCTCCTGCAGGAAATGACCCCTATTTAAGACCATAAATGACTTGGGACCAGGGTACCTGAAGGACCATCTTAGGGTTGCCAGCTCTGGTTGGGAAATACCTGGAGATTGGGGGGGGGTGAAACCTGGAGAGGGTGGGGTTTGATGAGGGGAGGGACCTCAGCAGATTGTAATGCCATAGCAGCCGTTTTCTCCAGAGGGACAATGCTTGGGTATCTGGAGATCAACTCTAACAGAGGGGGATCTCCAGGAGGTTTGCAACCCCAGACCACCTCTTTGTTGACTGGCCAGTCCAACAGTTCAGGTCATCTTCCCAAGCTCTGCTCTCTGTGCCTCTCGCCTGCG